TTCGACAAGGTCCCCCACGACCTTCTGGCAAAAAACTAGTCCAATGTGGGCTAGGCAAAACTCCGGTGAGGTGGATCTGTAATTGGTTAAATGGACGAACCCAGAGGGTGCTCACCAATGCTTCCTCTTCATTTTGGAAAGAAGTGACAAGCGGAGTGCCATCAGCAGGGTTCCGTCCTAGGCCTAGTCCTGTTCAACATCTTTATTAATGACTTAGGGCTAGAAGGCATGATCATCAAGTTTGCAGACAACACCAAATTGGGAGGGATAGCCAGTACTCCAGAGGACAGGAGCAGAATTCAAAACGATCTTGACAGATTAGAGAGATGGGCCAAAACTAACAAAATGAAGTTCAACAGTGACAAATGCAAGATACTCCACTTTGGCAGAAAAAATGAAATGCAAAGATACAGAATGGGGGACGCCTGGCTCGAGAGCAGTACGTGTGAAAAAGATCTTGGAGTCCTCGTGGACAACAAGTTAAACATGAGCCAACAATGTGATGTGGCGGCAAAAAAAGCCAATGGGATTTTGGCCTGCATAATAGGAGCATAGTGTCTAGATCTAGCGAAGTAATGCTACCCCTCTATTCTGCTTTGGTTAGACTACACCTGGAATATTGTGTCCAATTCTGGGCACCACAATTCAAGAGATATTGACAAGCTGGAATGTGTCCAGAGGAGGGCGACTAAAATGATCAAGGGTCTGGAGAACAAGCCCTATGAGGAGCGGCTTAAGGAGCTGGGCATGTTTAGCCTGAAGAAGAGAAGGCTGAGAGGAGATATGATAGCCATATATCAATATGTGAGATGAAGCCACAGGGAGGAGGAGGGAGCAAGCTTGTTTTCTGCTTCCCTGGAGACTAGGACGCAATGGAACAATGGCTTCAAACTACAAGAGAGGAGATTCCATCTGAACATGAGGAAGAACTTCCTGACTGTGAGAGCCGTTCAGCAGTGGAACTCTCTGCCCCGGAGTGTGGTGGAGGCTCCTTCTTTGGAAGCTTTTAAGCAGAGGCTGGATGGCCATTTGTCAGGGGTGATTTGAATGCAATATTCCTGCTTCTTGGCAGAGGGTTGGACTGGATGGCCCATGAGGTCTCTTCCAACTCTTTGATTCTATGATTCTATGCACATGAGGGTCCCACGGGCAAGAGTGGCCTTATGGGCATGAGAAAGCATACACAGGAGATTGGTGGACTTGTGGGGACTTCTAGGGTCCCCATGCCCAACCTAGGTACAAAACAATACTGGTGGGATCAATGTCTCAGTGTTAGATAGGGGATTATGGGTTCGGTAGTTACTTGGGGAAAGGAAAGGCTAGAGGGTAACTGTGGGGCTGTCATGAGACCTGGAGCTCCTAGGGAGCTGTAGGTTAGATGAGGGGTGTTGAGGGGTCGGGAAAACCCTGGTGCACAGGATCACGGATACAAGGGGGAGGAACGATGGGCCTCCGTATCCATGGTTTAAAGGGAGGCAGTTCCTGGAACCCAGTGGAGGCAGGATCTAGTTTTATATGTTAAAATGGTGTTTTATAAGGTTGTGGCAGTGGTAGGGGAGGACGTGCAGATCCTGCAGTAGGTCTGCAGTGACTTTCCTGGTTTCGTCAGCTGGTGCGAGGAACCCAGAAGTGGTTTGAATTTAGTGGTGGGAAAATAGACAAGAAATAGCATATAGAAAACCTGGTTTTTCCTGTTTGATTTTATTAGTGAAGTTCAGGAGCTGGTTGTGGAGTTCTCCATGGGGTCGTTGGCTACTGCTGAGTCCCTTTAGTTTGAGGGTGGCCACCAGTGGCTCCACTGGTGCCTGGGAGGACCTACGGAACTCCCTGCTGCAGGTTGCAGTTGTATAATCTCATTAATAAAGGGGGGGGGGTCATTTTGGGCTCGATAACAGTTATGGGGATGGTGCTGTGTGGCCTATCGCACCTGGTGGTCACCCATCCAAACACTGACCAGGGTTACCCCTGTTTAGCGTCCAGGATCAAAAGGGATCTGGGACCTTTAGAGTACTGAGTGGGTAGATGGTCAACCACACGGTTACTTTTGAGGGGCTTTCAGCAGTGGGTTTGAAGATGAGGGGATAATATAATATATGGGGGGTTTCTGGGCATATGCTTGGGAGGATGCCTAAATGTTGGAAATGGCAACCTTCTTCAAGCCTCCACTAGTTATTTGTATGTATATAATTGCTTACTGTATTGTATATATGTGTATTGGTTTGGAGTTTTTCTTTAACTCTTTGGTGTGGGAGGGGCTGCAAACCATGTGATCAGGTCTAGGCTTGTTCAGAACTCTGACTCCATTTCAGAACAGTATGCTTCAGACTTCAGTAGAAACAGATGCATGCTTTCAGTCCCTCAGATTGTACAGACTCCATTGGACTTTCAGACTAGACAGAGACTCTATTAGACTCTCAGAACAGAGAGATGCTTTGGATTATGGACTGTTGATTATATGACAGATTCCCTGTGTTATCTGCACAGAGAAACTACTTCAAACCCTATCTGTAACTGGATTGATAAGCAAAGTACCTGTATGCTGAATACATGAGTAAACCAACTAGTTACTTTTAAAGAAGTCTGCTTATTTTTGTCTCCTGAGAGCATGATTTAAAGGCAAATATATTTTAAGGGAGAGTGGATGTTTTTGGGTGACTAAAAGAATACTTCTGAAACTCTGCTATATACACATACTAGCCTGGGTACCTGGCGTGGCCCGGGCTATTTGAAAAAGTCATTTTTTTAATTGTACAAAAGGCCTAAGGTTATGGGTGAACTACAATTCACATTGTGCCAGATTAATCCCGAGAAACTCCATCAGTAGTTATGTTGGGCAAGTTTGTTATGTTGGGCAAGTTTGCTCTAGATACATCATCGGTGGGGGTCAGTGTGCTCTCCGGCTGTAGGGTACACTACAACTCCCACTATGGTGAGTCAGTCCCTACAACTTCCTCCAGTAGGTCGAGTTAGTCATGGGGGTTCTGCAGAGGCGGCTCTAGGTAATTTTCAACGGTAAGCAAACAGTATTTTGGAGCCCCCCCCCCCCAACCAATCACTGATATATATTTTCTGTTCATCGTGGGAGTTCTGTGTGCCATATTTGGTTCAATTCCATCATTGGTGGAGTTCAGAATGCTCTTTGATTTTAGGTGAACTATACATCCCAATAACTACAACTCGCATATGTCAAGGTCTATTTTCCCCCAAGAGCGCCTCAAGAGTGCCCCTGAGCAAAATCAAAGATACTGCAAATGCTTACTTTGCGTAATGGGTTGAGCCGCCCCTGGGGTTCTGTGAGCCAAGTATAGTCCAGGTCCATCATTGGTGGAGGCAGGAGCCGGTGGCGCAATGGGTTAAACCCCTGTGCCAGCAGGACTAAAGACCGAGAGGTCAGAGGTTTGAATCTGGGGAGAGCACGGGTGAGCTCCCTCTGTCAGCTCCAGCTCCCCATGTGGGAACATGAGAGAAGCCTCCCACAAGGATGGTAAAACATCAAAACATCTGGGCGTCCCCTGGGCAATGTCCTTGCAGACAGCCAATTCTCTCACACCAGAAGCAATTTGCAGTTTCTCAAGTCGCTCCTGACATGAAAAAAATGGTGAAGTCACAGTTTCTCTGGATTTGGGTGAACTACAACTCCCAGAAAGGAAGATCAGTTCCCCACAAACCCCTCCAGTAATCAAATTTCAGCATACCAGGTATGCGTGCCAAGTTTGGCCCAGATCCATTGGTGTTTGGGTTCTCTGGATGTAGGTGAACTACAACTTCCCCAAATCAAGGCGAATTTTCCCCAAAGACCTCCAGTATTTTTTGCTGGTCGTGGCTCTGTATGTCAAGTTTGGTCCAATTCCATCTTTTGTAGAATTCAGAGTGCTCCTTGATTGCAGGTGATCTATAAATCCCAGTACCTGCAACTCCAAAATGTCCAGGCCAATTCTTCTCAAAACCCACCAGTATTCAAATTTGGGCATATCAAGTATGCATGCCAAGTTTGGTCCAGATCCATCCTTGTTTGGGTTCATAGTGCACTCTGGATGTAGGTGAACTACAATTCCTATAAATTCCTCCAAAGACCTCCAGTATGTTTTGTCGGTCATGGGGGGTTCTGTGTGCCAAGTGAGGTCCAGGTCCATCACTGGTGGAGTTCAGAGTGCTCTTAGATTGCAGGTGAACTATACATCCCAGTACCCACAACTCATGGGGAAATCTCCCCAAACCTCTCTAGTATGTTCAGTTGCTGATCAATTCCTCTGTTTGCTGTGTGCCATAGAAAAGAATGGGAAAGTGTTAAGGGAAAGGCAGTGGGTGAGGTCATGCAAATTCCACATCAATGGGGAGAGTAAGAAACACTGGGATTTTTGTGGTGGAGGAAACCCATAAAATCTAGTATGAAATGGTCCCCATATGAAAGCCTTCACTTGAGGCTGGATGGCCATCTGTCAGGGGTGATTTGAATGCAATATTCCTGCTTCTTGGCAGGGGGTTGGACTGGATGGCTCATGAGATCTCTTCCAACTCTTTGATTCTATAATTCTATGAGTGGTAGGCAGGATTGTGTTTGTGGGAGCTTGTCTGACTGTAAGTAGACATCCCAGTCACACACACATACATATTTTCATTTTTATTATGTGTATAGAAGATATGTTTTTGTGCATTGGCATATCTTTGTCCCTAACAGTTCATAGACATACTTAAGTTTAACAGCTGTTTAACAGTTTAACAGTTGAGAATTCTGATTGCCTTGCATGAATGCCATTTTCCCAAAAGGTTATGACTCTAACAGGTCATGTTTTTTACAAAGAGGTTATGGCATCATTTTTCAAAAGATTGTGACGTCTAACAAGATCATGCCTTTCCAAAGATCATAAAATCTCCAAAAGGTTATGGAGATTTCCATTGTCCAAAATAAAAAGGAGGAGCTGCATGTCGCCGTGGGCCATCCATTGCTTTCAACAAAACTGGGAACCCATCAAAAAGCCTTCTCTCCCTTCTCTCCTCAGCTACCCTGGGCGCCTTGGAGTTCAGCCTCTTATACGACCAAGACAAGAGCTCCTTGCAGTGCACCCTCATCAAGGCCAAGGTGTGTGGGACCCCCTCAGTTCAGCCACTCATTGTAGGGGAACATCCAACCCCAGCCTTTGGTCCGTGGGGCATTTTGGACTTCAGGGAGACAAAACCTCCAACCAACCGAAGGACCATTGTTGAAGTATTGGTCTGGAGCAGTGGTTCCCAACTTGTGATCCATGGACCACCAGTGGTCCGCAAGAACTAAAATATGATCTGCGGCCTCAATGTTAGCAAATTATTATTATTAATATTATTACTGCAGAATGTTTATGATCTTCTTGTTATTATTATTATTTCTTCCTGCCCAGGGCCTGAAGCCAATGGACTCCAATGGGCTGGCAGATCCTTACGTGAAACTTCATCTTTTGCCGGGGGCCAGTAAGGTGAGTTTGTAGGATCCCACATTTACAAGGTAGGGAAAGAGGTACCAAAGTGCTGCCGTTGTGCAGTGTAGGCGGAATAGGTGTCCGAATCTGTTGCCTGTTTCAATGGCTTTGTCTTTGGTAGTCAAACAAACTGAGGACCAAGACCTTGAGGAACACCCGAAATCCGGTTTGGAATGAGACTTTGGTGTACCATGGCATCACCGATGAGGACATGCAGAGGAAGACGCTCAGGTATTTTCGGAGAGCACTGTTGCACCCTAGCACTAAGACACCCTTTCACCCAGCACCACACCAGAGTCCAGTGATCCAGTCATAAAATATTTATTGAAGCAAAAATATAAAAGGGGAAAAACAGTCAAATCCAAAAGACACAATTAGAATATAAAATGCAATATACGCAATAAGCCAGGATTCAGTAACATGAATGCAAAAATGCCAGGGTAAACCCCCAAATCCAGGAGTTCAAGAATACAGAAGTAATCCAAAGGTATTTCCATGAACATGAACACAGGAATATCTCCAAGGTAAATCCTCCAAAGGTACATAAGCATAGACAGGAACATAAAACAGGAAACTTGACAATATAGGAACCAGGAACTTGGGGCGATGCTCCAAAGGGGGTTTAAACCCACAAAGGCAGGGGGGGGGGGGAAATGGGTTTTCCCCTTTGGCTGTCCACATGCTATCCTGAATACTTCCAGGATAACGTGTGCAGAGGCGACCCTAGGTAATTTTCAATGGTAAGCAAGCAGTATTTTGGTGCCCCCCCCCCCCAACCAATCACTGATATATATTTTCTGTTCATCGTGGGAGTTCTGTGTGCCATATTTGGTTCAATTCCATCACTGGTGGAGTTCAGAATGCTCTTTGATTGTAGGTGAACTATACATCTCAGTAACTACAACTCGCATATGTCAAGGTCTATTTTCCCCCAAGAGCACCTCAAGAGCGCCTCAAGAGCGCCTCTGGGCAAAACCAACTATACTGCAAATGCTTACTTTGCGTAATGGTTTGAGCCGCCCCTGAATGTGTGGCCATCAAAAAAAAAAAAAAACCAACCTCAAAAACCTATAAATAAAAAGGAAACTCACCAGGAGCCATTTGGCTTCTCTTCCTACCTGAGGGAACATACCAATGATGCACAAAAACATAGGGGGAGCCAGGAGTGATTTGGGCCCCCACTTCATTTCGAGTGTCATAGGTATGTTCCATTAGAAAGAAGGAGAATCCAAATGGCTCCCGGTAACTTTCCTTTTTACTTTTTAGGGTTTTGTGGGGGGTTTTGTGGGAGGGGGTTGGAGACCTCACAGTTTTCCAGGCTGAATCAGCCTGGAAAACACAGGACTACTGTCTGGACTACTCCCTCAAAAGTCCAGCACTTTTGAGGGAGCAGTCCAGACAACTGAAGCAGCGGGTTTATCCTGCGCCTTCTAAGAAGGCGTGGAATAAACCCACTATCAAATTAATTTGCCACAAACCAGGGGTTTCCTGATTTGTGGCAGGTTAATTCGGGTTTCTCCAGAATGTTGTCTGGACAGCCCCCTTTTTGTTGCGGAAGTTTCTGCAATATAGTGGATGTGCCCTCTGTAACATAAACAAGAGACTGAATACCCAACAGCAATGTTGTCTTCTCTGAGAGGCTTGACACCAAACAATTTAATTTAAGCCTGTCCAGGCACCCATGACATCATGCCTAATACACATGGACTTCAAGGTCTTATCCCTAATCCTCTGGGAATATCTAGTTTGCCTGTTTTTCATGCTCTACGTTCTCAAGTTTAATCTACACTCCCCTGAAACCTTCCCATCTTTCCAAGATTGTTCCTCAAGGGAACTGGTATTTTCGGTTTCTCCTGTTGCCCGAGAACGATCTGAAGAATTCTAAACTTCAGCCTCGTCTGCCTGCAATTTCCCCTGAACATTCACAGATGCCTCATTTTAGAACCCATCATCCCCCTCATCCTCTGAACATTCAGAAAAATCCTCTAATGCTTGACAGACTACAACAGGTTCTTTCTTCCCTGGAATTATCCTGATTTCTTTCTTTCCGGAATCTCCTATCAATCTTGGGGCTGTCGCTTCTTCCTTCCAGGATCTCAGTGTGCGACGAGGACAAGTTTGGCCACAATGAGTTCATTGGTGAGACCAGAGTGGCCTTAAAGAAGGTGAAGCCAAACCAGAAGAAAAATTTCAACATCTGCTTAGAAAGAGTCGTTCCGGTAAGTCACTGCTGCCTGTCGTTCTCATAGCTGTCTACCCTGGTGGAGGGATTGGTCTAGATGGCCTTTGGGATCCCTTCTGACGTGATGGTGAGGCTAAATGGTACTCTTTCTCTCTCCTTCACTTTCCCATGCCAATGTCAAGATGAAACGGGGTGGAACGACTGGCTCCTCACGTGGGATGGCCTTGTACGAAGATGAGGTAAGGCCTCCTGCCACTGCCCCAGATCAGCTTTGTTTGACTTTCCACCACCAGAGATAAGCTGGCAAGAAGCAATGTTAATCAGTCCACCTTTCAAAAGTTGGCACTCCCTTTGAATAATCAATGTTTTGACCAGATTGTGAGGTTTGTACCTGGCCTAATGGAGCCAGGGAACAGGTGGCCTTTTATATGTTGGGGCACTCTAATTCCCATCACTCCAGGGATGATGTGAGTGGTGGCTCACCAATGTGGAAGGCTGTATGTGCATTCCACCTCTGTTCTCTGGAGCCATGAAGTATGGCAATGACAAATCCCCATGTTGAGCTTGTCAGGGATTCAGAACTACTCTGGAAATGTGTAGGGCCTTTCCCTTTACTTTATTGATAGCTATACGAGTGGAACTGATCAGAAACTAGCAAGTAGAATTTCGGAAGTTAGCAGAGCCTCCAAAGAGTTATGCCTGGAGTCCGTTGCCAGGAAAAAAAAACTCTCAGAATCCCCAAAAACTAATGTTTCTGAGTCAAGCTTCATTTGAAAATTGCAAGAGATCTTTGTGTGGCAAGAAAGATTGGGGTTAGCTCTTGGAGAGAGACACTGAGCCCAAGTTGGGAAACTTGGGTCTTTGCGGAAGGAGAAAAGGAATACCAACCCGCACATTGAAGAAACAAAATACCTGCACGGATCCAAGGTGAAATCCTGCTTTGATGACAGGAGCCATGCCAACCAATGTATTTTTCAATTTGCTAGTCACCTGGCACCAGATAAGAGGTGGTCCTAAGGCCATGCATTGGCCTCCAAGACTCTGGTTATATAAGAGAAGAATGGGATTTTAACTTGTTGGTTTAAAATATGATTATTACTTTATATATATATACTAGCTTGGGTAGCTGGCATTGCCTGAGTTATTTGAAAAAGTATTTTTCTTATTCTACAAAATGGGTAAGGTTGTGGGTGAACTACAATTCACATAATGCCAGGTTAACCCCCTGAAACTCCATCAGTGCTTAAAGTTTGTCATGTTGGGCAAGTTTGCTCTCTAGATGCATCATTGATGGGCTCTGTGTGCACTCTGGCTGCAGGATGAACTACAGTTCCCACCATGGTGGGTCAGTCCCCTCAAACCCCTCTAGTGTGTTTAGGTGGTCATGGTGGTTCTGTATGCCAAGTTTGATTCAGGTCCATAATTGGTGGGGTTCATAGTTTTGCTGGCTGTAGGTGAACTACAACTCCCTAAAATCAAGTCCGATCTTTCCCAAACCCCTCAAGTATTCAAATTAGGGTGTTTTGGGCATGCATGCTAAATTTGGTCCAGATCCATCATTATTTGTCTTCACAGTTCTCTTTGGATGTGGGTGAACTGCAACTCCTATAAATCAAGGTCAATTCTCCCTAAAGACCTTCAGTATTTTTTGCTGGTCATGAGGATTCTGTGTGCCAAATGTGGTCCAAATCCATTGCTGGTGGGGGTCACAGTGCTCTGTCTTGATGCAGGGTGAACTACAACTTCCATCATGTTCCCCCAAACCTCTCCAGTATGTTCAGTTACTGATCAATTCTGCTGTTAGTTGTGTGCCATAGAAAATGTTAGGAAAGGATTAAGGGAGAAGCAGTGGACAGGGTCATGCAAATTCCACACCAGTGGAGAGAGTCTGACAGAGTAAGATGTTTGTGGTGGAGGAAACACTTAAAATCTAGTTGCGTGTGCAAGTGCGATACACCTCCCACAGCCAACCCAAGAAGTACGCTCACACATGATGCTGGGATGAACAATGGCCACAACTCATTTATTGATAACAGGAACAAGGGTTGGCAGCCAAGCATGGGTCCTGGATCTGATACCGCAAAGCCAGGGTGCCGCCGGCACAATACTGGGCAAACGCAACTCGGCACCCCTGAGACCACCAGGCGTTCCCCCTTTCCACTAGGGGGGGGGTACCAAACCAGATCCAGGGCCCATGCCCCACGCCAACAAGGAGTTGTGACAAGAAGCACAAAACAAACAAGTAACTGTTAACAGGTAACCAGGACAAGGTAAACAACAACAAAAGTTAACCACCGATGAAAACATAAACTGCATGCAGGGTGGGTGGGATGGATCAGCTGTTGCAGGCACAGAACCTGCTGGGGAGCCTGGGGCAGCCTTGGTCAATTGACCCGCCGGCGGGAAACCTTCCCACCATCCAAGGGGGCTTCTGGGAGGAAGAAGCCCCCCTGAGGCAAGAATGGTGGTGGGGGACGCCCTGCACCGCAACTTCCTTGGCCCGGGCCATGCCATGATGAAATTATCCCTGTATGAAAGCCTTCACTTGGGTGGTGGGCAGTGTTGTGTTATGGAGGACACTTTATTAGTGTATAGATTAGATACTATATATTAACCTCTTAATAGAGGCCTAGTACCTGCTAATTTGGATTTGGATTATTTGCATATAAATGCATAAAATCTGTGTAGAGAAAAAAAGAGGGGGAAGAAAGATAGTGATATATAATCTATTTTGTACACATAAATACTAACCTACTAACAAACAGATTAATTCAATTAACTCTTTAAGATTATGTTTGGCAATAAACAAAACTGAACAAGAGAGTTCGAAGAAATCAATTAACAGGAACAATCAAGAAGAACTTTTAAGAAGAATAAAAGGAGGAGGAGACAAGAAATGTGGAACAAGACAGAAAAGATAAAGAGAAGGTTCAGGAAGATAAGACTGTTAGGTTTAACAGAAGATCAAAATATTCCTCTCTTTGAGGAATATATCGAACTTGCAAAACTTTAGCATCACAAGTTATAAGTGTTTGGGTAACAGAGGCCAAGAATTGGCTGTCACACAATTAAATGTTAGGTAATGTTCTCCCCTTGCTCTCTATACTGTTTTTGTCCCCCCTCATCGATTTTCTGGATATTTGTTAAGATTTAATTTACTAACCCTAGCACAAGTAACCTGCTCCCTTTTCCCTACCACACTCTCTGGAAAAATATTTGGAAATGATTAATAAAAATGGAATTTTAAAAAAGATTATCTGTGAGGTCCTCAACCCCTCCAGATTTACCACGCCCAGGGGCGGCTCAACCCATTACGCAAAGGAAGTATTTGCAGTATAGTTGATTTTTCCCAGGGGCGCTCTTGAGGTGCTCTTGGGGGAAAATAGACCTTGACATATGCGAGTTGTAGTTACTGAGATGTATAGTTCACCTACAATCAAAGAGCATTCTGAACTCCACCAGAGATGGAATTGAACCAAATATGGCACACAGAACTCCCACGATGAACAGAAAATATATATCAGTGATTGGGTTTTTTTGGGGGGGGGGGGGCACCAAAATACTGTTTGCTTACCATTGAAAATTACCTAGGTTATGCCCATGTATGGTGTAATTTCTTCCTTTTCTTTTCTCCCTCAACACCCATTTTTATAAGCAAGTCTACATTAAACTTTTATCAATGAAAAAAAGAAAAGAAAATTACCTAGGGCCGCCTCTGACTATGCTGTCCCAAAACAGTTTTTTTTTTGTTTCACAGAGTACCCTTTTTCTGGAGCATTTACTAGCCTGATGACAGACTTTCTTTCTTCTCTGCCCTATGCTTTCCTCCTTCACAGATGGACCAAGGTGGTGATGTCGAGGAGCGGGGAAAGATCCTGGTCTCTCTCATGTACAGTACCCAGAAAGGGGGGCTCATTGTCGGTATCATCCGCTGCGTCCACCTGGCTGCCATGGATGCCAACGGCTACTCAGACCCCTTTGTGAAAATGTACGCAAGTGAAACCGTCCCTCCGTGATGGCCAGGATAAAGCTAGTGGGGTTCAGTATGGGGACTCATCTGTTTCCTGAGACTATTGGCTTGGAATTAGGCTTGTGCAATTCAGCTGGAGGGCAATCCGTTATCGGTATCTGAATTTCATTGGGTACCCAGATCTGTTTTTTTGGGAGCCTCTCGAAAATCAGCTAATGGAAAAATCTGTTTTCAGCTAGGCAGTTGAAAGATCTGTGAAGATCCGGCCCATTGACGGGAATGGGGAACTTACAAGGCTCCCTTTTCCATTCCTGGGCTCCTTTTCTTTCATCCTTTCAAGGGAGTCTGGGTTTGAGGAACGGGGTTAAGGAAGCATCCTTCCTGGGACCCATTCCTTTCTTCCTTTCAAGGGAGTCTGGGTTTGAGGAATGGGGTTAAGGAAGCACACTTCCTGGGCTCATTTTCTTTCTTCCTTTCGAGGGAGCCTGGGTTTGAGGAATGGGGTTAAGGAAGCATGTGCCGCTTTCTCCCAAATAGAAAGGAAGAAGCTGTGCCTAGCAGCCACATGGGCCATTTTGGTCGGAAAAAAACATGGCAACAGAGCCTTACCATTATGACCAGCCGAACAATCCAGATTGGCCAAAGGGAACCGACCAAACCGAATCCATGCACAAGCCTACTTGGAATATTAGTGGGAATTTCCTCTCTCCTCCTTCTGTCCCTCCCTTTGGCTGGTCCTCAAGCAACAGCATTGGCCTTTGCTCCTTTTCAGCATCTCGGCCCTCTCGCTTGTACCAAAACCCATTCTGTCTTTTTTCCTCCCCAGTTGCTTGAAGCCTGACATGGGGAAGAAAGCCAAGCAAAAGACGCAAATCAAGAAGAAGACTTTAAACCCTGAGTTCAATGAGGTGAGCATGCAGCCTCCTTTTCCTTCTCGCCTGGGGTCCGGATAGGCTGCTTTAGAAGATAGGTTATGAACATGCATGATATGCCCTGCTCCTTGGGAGAGAATGACTCCACTACTCTCTCCTGGAAGCACCCTTTCTGAGCCTGTGACCATTCTTTGTCTTCCTTCCCCTCCAAAACTAGGAATTTTTCTATGATATCAAGCACAGTGATCTGGCCAAGAAACAGCTCGATGTCTCGGTTTGGGATTATGACATTGGCAAATCTAATGACTATATTGGTGAGTGTGTGTAGGGACGACGTCTCGAAGTGTTTGATTTTTGAAATTCATAAACAATATGTACAAACAGATAGAATTTTTAAAATAATTCAATACAGTTGACTTAAAAATGATTTCTTAAATGTCAGGGAATCCTAGTGAGGTGAGAATCTTTGCTGTCTGAAGCTTATTCTCTGCCCCCAAAATGCATGCAGGCTTTTCTGTGCAGAAAATGAACAGCCAGAATGTGCCTTTTTTGTACAGAGAACAGCATTTCTGCACAGAAAATGTGACTTTCTCAGCATCTTCAGGTATAATAATAATAAACTTTCTTTATACCCCACCATTATGATCAGAATAAGTCCTGAACTGCAAATAGCCTTTGAAAATCTTACCTTTTTAAAAAAAGTTTCAATGGGGGGAAACATGGAGTGCATATACATTGTGGAATTGATACCACTATGCAGATACATTGTGCAGTTTGATACCACTATGGCTCAATGCTATGGAAGCCTGGGAGTTGACGTTCTGTGCCAAAGAGTGCCGGAATCTCACCAGATTTCAACTTCCCAGGACTCTGTCACATTGAGCCATGGCAGTTCAAGTGGGGTCAAACTGCAGTATAGATGCAGCCATGGCCAAAGTATTTTTTTGTAAATGAGTTTCCTGCGGGAGAGATAAAGTGGGGGATAGAATAATAATAATAATAATAATAATAATAATAATAATAATAATAATAATAATAATAATAGAGCTTGATGAAGATGTGCCTCTCTAGAAATAGGGGCAGTAGAATGGTAGAATGGTTTTCATCCCTTGGCCCTCCAGTTCGTTTGGCCTTCAACTCCCAGAATTCTTCTTCTCTTGGCTTAGTACTTCCGATTGATTGATTTAATATTATTATTTATTATTTATTTCATCATCATCATCATCATCATCATCATCATCATCATCATCATCATTATAGTCCTCATCATACTGTTTCATTATCATTATCATTATCTTATTATTGTTACTATTGTTATTGTTATTGTTACTATTATTATTATTATTAGTAGTAGTAGTAGTAGTAGTAGTATCACTAGAATCATGATTTGCTTGAAATTATTTCATCATCATTATTATAGTCATCATAAGTCTTCTGGGAGCCGAAGTACCAAACTTCTGGAGGTGACACAACTCCTGGTGTTCAGCCCCAGCAGGCCCAGTCTTGGATAAAACTGTTCCACTTTCCCTTTTCCAGGTGGCTGCCAACTGGGCATCACAGCCAAAGGTGAGCGCTTGAAACACTGGTACGAGTGCCTGAAGAACAAGGACAAGAAAATTGAGCGCTGGCATGCCTTACAGAACGAGAACCACGTCTCAAGTGACTAGGGGACACCCCCTGTGCCATCTCCCTCCCAGTAACACCCCCCCCCCAACATCCTGTCTTCCAATGCATCAATGTTTCTTTGGCTCCCGGAGGGGAACAAAAGAGCCCCTGTCTCCCACCTCCATTATGGGAGCAGCATTTTTCTCCTCCTCTTCCTCTTCCACCTCCTTTGCCGTCCCCACCCAAGGGTGCCAAACTGGTTCCCCTTTCTGGTTTGTATTGTTCCCCCATCTGCCCTGCCTTCTCCCCCTCTGTATAGATTTTTCAAGCAATAGCACTGAAAATCTTGAGTTTGGCGTTTGCTTCTCGGCAGCAAAAAGACCACCGTCCTCTCCGTCCCTGACCAATGCCAGTGTGCTTTCTCCTCTTTGCCAAAGGCATCTGTTCTCGAAGTGTCCTTGAATCTCTGAGGCCCCTCTCTTCCTGTTTCCACCTTCTGCATGCGGATGTCCCTTCTTTGCCTCCTCTTTGCAACCTTGAGATACTTCGAGCATTGCTAACAGGGAAAAAAATGCACGGCTATGGGTCTTGGATCGGACTGCTTTGAGCATGGGGGCAGCCGATCACGATGCCGACCACGGCGACAGCGGCTGGATCGCGTGGGTCTTTGGGAATCTAAGCAAAAAAGAACTGTTTCTGCTTTGGGGGGCTGCAGGGGGGGGAGGGGGTCTTTCTGATTTGTAGCATCGCTTCATCCCCGGTTTTTCTAGTAATCCAGAGAAGGCCACCTTTCATTTCAATGTGGTTCTTGGCAACTTCTCATATCAACCCTTGAACCTGGAAAGGCCAGACATCCCTAGTCAACAACTATATGGGCGAAGAGGTCAACCCAAGCTGAGTTGTGGGATTCCATTTGCTCCTGTTGGGCAAGGCCCATCTCCGTGCCAATGATCTTTGTCTGGGAAATGTTTTACTCAGCTTGCATCCTATTGTTTGTGAATTTTCTGAACAAAACGGAGGGCTAGTGTTCTCCAGGAGGGCTTCTCAGAATCAAAACCACCAGGCAGAGGATGAAGCATTGACAGATCATGTATTCCTATTCCATCGCTTGTGTGCAATGGCTGAGGACAGACTGAAGAAGAAACCCAAACCTGAGGTTTCAGAGAATGTCAGATAGGACAACCTGGTCCACTTTGGTCTATGGTTGGTCAAAAGGTTTCTTCCTTGGTCTCCCCAAAGTTCTCTCCTTTAGCTGGAACTTGGAAGTAGCAACAATATCCCTTCCTGGCAACAGTTGCTGGGATCCATCAGACCTGGCAGTATGAGCAGCCCATGGAAGGGAAACTCAATTCAACCAATGATGTTGGCAATGAAACCTGGTGTTCTTCCTCTTCTGTGCCCTTGCAGTGGCACTTGAGCGACCTCTTTCCCACGTAACTTCCTAACTCTGCTACCCGTTCCTAGATTGGCAAGGCATGGGAAAAGTGCTTCTCTTGGCCTCATGTTCCCAGTTTCAGAAATTCTGTAGCTTCAAGCCAATGATGCATTTAAGAAGCAGCAACAACAAAAACTTCTTCCTCCTCCTTCTTCCTTGTTCTTTCTCTTCGAATGCTCCTCCTCCTACTCTTTTTCCTTCTCTTTGAACCTTCTCCATCTTTCTCCAGGAACATCTTCTCCGTCTTCAAATGTCTCCTCCTCCTCCACTTCTTTTTGCTCTTTGAACTTTCTTCTCTGTCCTCCAACAAGGTCTTCTCAGTCTTCAAATGTCTTCCTCCTCCTCCTCTCCTTTTTCCTCTTGGAACCTTCTTCTCCCTCCTCCTCCAAGAACATTTTCTCCATCTTCAGATGTCTTCCTCCTCCTCCTCATCTTCCTCTTTGAACCTTCTTTTCCGTCCTCCAACAAGTATGTCTTCTCTGTCTTCAAGTGTCTTCCTCCCTCTTTTTCTTCCTCTTTGAACCTTCTTCTCCGTCCTCCTCCAAGAACATCTCCATCTTCAAATGTCTTCCTCTTCTTCTTCTTCTTCTTCTTCTTCTTCTTCTTCTTCTTCTTCTTCTTCTTCTTCTTCTTCCTCTTTGAACCTCCTCCAAAAATGTCTTCTTTGTCTTCCTCCTCTTCCTCCTTTTTGAAACGTCTTCTCCATACTCGTCCAAGAACACCTTCTCTGTCTTCAAATGTCACCTCCCCCTCCTCTTTGTCTTCTTCTTCTTCCTCCCCTTTGAACCTTCTTCTCCATCCTCCTCAAAGAATGTCTTCTCTGTCTTCAAAAGGTCTTCCTCCTCCTGCTCTTCTTCTTTCTCTCCCTTCCTTCTTTTCAAAGTTCTCCTTATTTCTCTCTTCCTGCCTCCTTTTCTTCTTTCCTCCTCTTTGACTTTCCTCTTCACATGTCTTCCTCCTTCTCCACTTCTTCTTTTTCAGCCTCTTCTTTCATCTCCTCTTACCTTCAGGGAGTCAACAGGAAGAATCATTGTGTAGACTCCTTTTGCCGGTGACAAGAGTGTGGTGAAAGCTCCACCTTGGTGGCTTTTAAACAGAGGCATCCAGCCATCCAGGCCATCTGTCAGGGCTGCTTTGATTGTGGTTTTCCTGCATAGCAGGGGGCAGGCTTAGATGGCCTGCCCCCTGCTCTTCCAACTCTATGATCCTATGATTCCATCCTATTGGTTAGTTCCAACAAGAGTAAGCCCATTGAATCCACAGTTACTCACCTCTGGTTTAGCGCATTTACCACTGGATCATTGGGTGGAATGATTTCTTTGACGTGCTCTCTGAATCTGATTTAAAACTGTCCCAAGCCCGTGGCTGGGGAGGGCACAGTAGGAGAACATTGCCCCCCAAGAAGAATCCTGCCCCTCCAAATGAGATTTTCTTTTCTCCCTATATTTTACAGCATCCCAGAGAGCGAGATGCTGGAAATGATTCATATCTGGCAGTCGTTCCTCTTGGTCCCTTTTCTTGGATGCTGAAACTCGATTCCTAAAAGCTCAACACGCTTTTAAAGTGACTGGGATGCTCCAAACTGGGTAGGAAAATTTTGTTGGAGGGCATTCTTATTTGAAAGGCAATGCCTCTTCCTTGTGGTTTCCCCTACATCCCTGTGCCCTTTTATGGCTATTCAGTAGGATTGTGGGAAAGGCTGTTAGGTTAGGCATCGGATGAGCCAAGCTGAGCCAAGCGTTGGAAGCACCACTCCACCCCTCCCTCTTTACTCTTGCTGTCCAAAAAGATAGGACAGGAGAGAATCTGAATAGAGATGTCAGTCCAGCTGACCTAAGTCAAACTCCATTTTTCTCATTTCCTTTCGGCTTCATCCTCCTTAAGGGAGCATCCTCTTGGCGAGAGCCCTCTCTTTTTGTCTGATGTATTGTCATTTTTGGGATACTGTTTTGTAAGATCAATGTGAAAGTTCTCTTCTGGGGAAAAATCCCTTTGGCTCTTTTCAAGATTGAGTCCTAACTTCCTTTGTCCTTCCTTGGCAGTTTGTGACTGTTTGACCTCTGAGCCCTCTTCCTCCTTTCTTTGTAAATAAGGCATGCACGTCTGGGTCGGGAATAGTGAATCGCTTCCCGGATCCCCATCCGTCCATCTCCCCCTCCTCTCCAACGATTGCATTCTCTCAAGCATGCAACAACCTCACCAAAATAAGTAACTAACTAACTTAACCAACAGTTGATAACTATCTAACAGCCAATGTTACCAGTGAGACTCGAGAAACCCAGCTGGTCTTCTGCTGCATGCAGGTGTAACGTCCCCCGTTTCTTCATGTCATACCCAATAAAGTGTGAACAAAAGGGGGAAAACCTCACTTGGAGCAGTGTCTTGTTTTAATAATACAATAATAATAATAATATCTATCTATCTATCTATCTATCTATCTGTATCTATCTATGCTCTGTTCATTTTGCGTGACATCATAACTGGACTGATTGCTGCCAAATTTGGCCACAAGACATCTACTAACCCAACAAATGACCATCACTCAAAATAATTGATTTTGTCATTTGGGAGTTGTAGTTGCTGGGATTTATAGTTAACCTACTATCGAAGAGCATTCTGAACTCCACTAAGGATGGAATTGAACCAAACGTGGCACACAGGACTCCCACAATCAACAGAAAACACTAGAAGGGTTTGGTGGGCATTGACTTGAGTTTTGGAGTTGTAGTTCACCTACATCCAGAGAGCACTGTGGACTCAAACAATGAAGAATCTAGACCAAACTTGACACGAATACTCCAATATGCCCAAATATGAACACTGGTGCAGTTTGAGGAAGATAGACCTTGACATTTGGGAGTTATAGTTACTGGGATTTATAGTTCACATACAATCAAAGAGCATTCTGAACCCCACCAACGATAAAATTGGGCCAAACATCCCACACAGAACCCCCATGACCAACAGAAAATACTGTGTTTTCTGGTGGTCTTTGGCGACACCTCCGCCCCACGGAGACCCCCAGCCCCCCCCCCCCCCCGATTGAGAAATGCTGCCTTAAGGTCCTACAGTCCAACTCCCTTCACCAGGGAAAGAAAACAGAGTAAAAGCCCTCCTGACAAAGAGCCATTCAGCCATAGATATAGATAGATATATATGATTCACACACACACACACACATACGTATATGACAGATATCAGATTTGAAAGGGACCCCTAAAGAAGGACAAATATAAGTTGCATGTTCCAGGGTAGGCAAACCAGACAATCTCTACATCAACCCTGACAAAGAAACAAAAAGAAATACTGTTTACCCACAAGCATAAAGAAATTACATATATTAGAAACCAACACTTTCTCATTACTTTATTTTCCAGATTACCAGACTGGGCCACAGCAATGCATGGCAGGGGATAGCTAATAATAATAATAATAATAATAATAATAATAATAATAATAATACACTTTATTTATATTCTGCCCTTCTCTCCTAGGGGACTCAGAGTGAATTATAGCATTAACATACATAGGCAAACATTCAATGTCTTTAGAATCATATGCAATGAGACACACAAACACAAAGGCAGAGGCTTCTCCTTTTATTCCGGCTTCTGGAGGCAATGCCCATCTCTGGCTCTGGGGAGGTGCTTTTCTCCGAGGAGCTTGCATTGTCACCTTCTGGTTGTGTGGCCAGCAAGATTTCTTGGAGTGTCTCTTTGTGTCTCTTTTCCCTCTGAAGCTGTACCTATTTATCTGCTCACATTTGCATGTTTTTGAATTGCCAGGTTGGCAGGAGCTGGAGCTGACAAATGGGAGCTTACTACGTCTCATGGATTTGAACTGTCAACCTTCAGGCCAGCAGTTAAGCCAACTTTCCAGTCAGCAGTTCAGCAGCACAAGGGTTTAACCCATTGCGCCAATGTGGCTCCACTCTTCATTCCCTTGAAAGCATCCTCTGCCCAGGATGGGATTACGAGTTTTCCTACATTTTTCTTCTGCCTTTTCAGAACTTTCATTTATTAGATTTGGAGGGGGGGGGGGGGGAATCATGATGTGCATACAATACACATCCTTGTACAAAAATGGATCAGGTTGGGCATCCAGTATTCAGAATTGTTAAATTCAGAATACTCCCAAATCTGAAATGATCCCCCTGAGAGGCTGAGAGAATGACACCAATTTATTTTCGGTGTGTAAATTTTTTGGAAATATTGTGCATAAATGGTCACTGGGCTATGTACAGAAGGTGAATATAAAGCATCAATAACAACAACAACAACAACAACACTTTCTGCCCTTCCTGTAGGGATTCAGAATGGATTACAGTGTAAACAGATACTGGCAAACATTCAATGCCTTCTTACAACGTTTTATCTCTAAGATATTGCATTATCTATGCATATGCAAGAACAAGTATTTCAGTATCTGAAAAAAAAATTAAATCCAACACGCTTCTGGTCCTGTATATTTTGGATAAGGGAGATTCAACCTGATGTACCTGGATTTGTTGAGACATCCTTATGTCAAAGAGGGCAAGAAAAACCAAAGCCAAGATGAGCAATGCAAGGTGAAATGGGCCATTGCAACACCTGACATGTATCTGCACATTCAACCCGGCTTTTGCAACCATCCACTGAATACCATGGCTCATACGTTCTTCTAGAACAGATCTGTCGACTCAGCTGCGGAATGCTAAGCCAACCCTTTTCTCAATCCAGTAGGCCAAGTTTAGTTGGGGATAGTGTTTGGATTCACGACTTGGGCCGAGATCTTGCATTGCCTCTGCATTACATACATCTCCGTCTGCAGAGATCCATTATGCAATCATAGGAAAGTAGAAGGAAAACAAGGACTCTGCTGCAATTCTCCGCCTGCTCCGCAGATGGCAATAGGGTCCCAAAGATGGCCACTGTCCTTCCCAGCAAACACCACTGGGAGGCAAGGGGATTATTATGAGGTTTTGGGCGAAGTTCCTAGTAAGGCCTTGCGGTAGCAAGTCATCTGAACACAAGTTGAGACACAGAGGGGAATATCAGTGGTCATTAGTGCCACTGAAAATGAAGAACTATTTGGATACGGGTGCAGGAGGCATCCTATTCCCCGCCTTGAACCAGGGCTTTCTCAAGTGGCAGGCAGCAAGAGAGATCAGAGTTTCAGTTGGAGCCTGAATCTTTGTCCTCTTTTGGATTCCAATTCCCAGAGTTGTATTTTCATGCCAGGGATCATATGGGGAATATGCAATACAAGGTTACAAACAGGGTAGACTCTGAGCATAGGTAAAGGTTTTCCCTTGACATTAAGTCCAATCATGTCCAACTTTGGGGGTTGGTGCTCATCTCCATTTCTAAGCGGAAGAGCCAGAGTTGCCCGTAGACACCTCCAAGGTCATATGGCCAGCATGACTGCATGGAGCGCCATTACCTTCCCACCGGAGCAGTACCTATTGATCTACTCACATTTGCATATTTTCGAACTGCTAGGTTGGCAGTTGGCTGGGGCTGACAGCGGGAGCTCATGTCGCTTCCTTGGATTCAAACCTGCGACCTTTCAGTCAACAAATTCAGCAGCTCAGTGGTTTAACCCAATGCGTCACGGGGCGCTCCGGTGCATGAGCATAAGCAAAGAGCTTTCCTTTCCCTGCAGGCTCAATTTCTCAATATTTCAATCGGTAAACAGGGCTTGAGACATGTGCTTTTGCATTATGAGTTAACTGATGCCTGCCATTCACTTTCTGCATCACATTGTTGGGCGCTTGCAATTCTGTGCCCTTCCCAAAAGGAACCGCTCTTCTACTGGCTCTAGGCCAAGCTCCTTCTTCCTCGAATGCCCCGTTTGCGGCTCCGGAGGCTTCTTTGCTCACTAATGAGATTTGGCTCTCTGCCTCCACCGATCGATTCTCATCTTGGAATCAGCCAAGCTCGTCATCACGGCCAATAATTCACAGCTTTGGTCACTCCGAGAATCAATACAGTTTTGCTCTTTGCTGAGAAGGTGCAAAGGCAGGAGTGCGACAGAGGGGAGGCAGGAGAACTACAAGCCAGTGGCTTTGCCGGTTGGGCATCAAAGCCAATTTTGGGATGGAAGTCAGGGGATCATAAAGAGCAAGCAGCGGCCATCACTGGGACTGAATTGTCTAAAGCTGAAGGCTTGAATCACTCCACCTATATCTATGTATATAATACATGTGAGTGTGTGTATGTATGTGGCAGCTTTCAGTTTGGCTCCCACTTCCACAGGCTACTGTGACCCCCACGAAAGATGGACCTGGACCAAACTTAGTGCACAGGACCCCGCCCCCCCCCTCTCAAGACCCACCTTACATCCTGGTGTGGTTTGAGGGAGGATGTACCATGGATGATGGGATTTGCAGTACCTTCACTCACTTCCAGAAACCACTGTGACCCTCACAAATGACGGACCTGGACCAAAATTGGTACACAGACTCCCCATGACCAACAGAACATACTGGAGAGGTTTGGGTGGAACTGACCTTATTTGTGAGAGCTGTAGTTCACCTGCATCCAGAATACTGTGAACCCCCACCGACAATGGACTGGGACCAAGCTTGGCACAGAGAACCCCCATGACCAACTGAGCATATTGGAGATGTTTGGGGTGGGGGGGGGGGTTGACCTTGATTTTCAGGAGTGGTAGTTCACTCTGCATCCAGAAGGCACTGAACCATAACAGATGTGGACCAAACTTAGCACACAGGCCCAACATGGCCTATGTTCAATACTGGTGGGGTTTGGGGGAGGATTGACCCATGATTCTGGGAATTGTAGTTCACTCACATCCTTATGCATTTTCAAATGCATAAGTAATAAAAATAAAAGTAAATTACCTAACTAATATTACCAAACACCTGAAAACAAACAATGGATTTTTCAAATAACCCAGGTATCACCAGGTCCCCAAGCTAGTATATTATAAAAGTATGTTCCAGAAGGGCTCCTACATGACTTGATGGATGCAGACCAAAATTGGTACACATATCATCATGATCCAACAAAAAATAATGGTAGGTTGGGGGTGGGAGCTGAGAGGGGTTGATGGGAGCTGTAGTCCAGCCATGTCTCCTTATGGCTTTGGTACAGATCCCATGATGGATCTGTACCAAATGAGGTACACATAGCCATCATGGTCCAAGTTAAAACACTGACAAGGTTTGTGGAGGCTTATATAGGATGATTGGTGTTGGAGTAAAGCCACAATGACTATTTCTAGTAAATGGCATTACAAAATACTTAAGTGGGGTAACACTTTGTGTGTGTGTGTGTGTATGTGTATGCTAGTAGCCAATAAAAGACCCCTGCTATCCTCTTGAAGCTTCATTCCCTAAAAAAAGATGCTCCCCAAAGTCTCCAT